GGGGTCTTCAGCTTACTCAGTTTCATCCACCCACTCCAGGCCATATTTTATGCTGTGACACCACTGCCCTGGTGTCCCCATTTGGTGGCAGTATGCCCCATACCTGCAGCAGGCCTAGACGTGACCCAACCTTGTGGGGACTGTGGAACAATCCAAGAGAATTGGGTGTGTCTCTCTTGCTATCAGGTATGGAGCAGAGGAAGGGGATGGGGCGGAGGTTGGAACTACAGGGGGGTGCTGACCCCCACCTGACACTCACACCCCCAACCTCAGGTCTACTGTGGTCGTTACATCAATGGCCACATGCTCCAACACCATGAAAATTCTGGACACCCGCTGGTCCTCAGCTACATCGACCTGTCAACCTGGTGTTACTACTGTCAGGCCTATGTCCACCACCAGGTGGGCCCTGGGTAGACCCTTCAACACGTGCACACTCACCCCCCACACACACACACCCCTTCTGTGATTGGGTAAAGGGAGACCACAGGCCCCTCTGCATGGCTGCCTCATGTGATTATTTTGCATGGGGCGGGGGCTGTGGGATAGTCCAGAAGACAGAGTGGTTGAGGGCTGGAGTGGGGGCAGCCCTGCAGCCGAGGTAGAGGGGTCCTCACTCTCTCTCACCTGCCCTATTCTTGCCTCCTCCTCAGGCTCTCCTAGATGTGAAGAACATCGCCCACCAGAACAAGTTTGGGGAGGATATGCCCCACCCACACTAAGCCCCAGAATACGGTCCCTCTTCACCTTCTGAGGCCCACGATAGACCAGCTGTAGCTCATTCCAGCCTGTACCTTGGATGAGGGGTAGCCTCCCACTGCATCCCATCCTGAATATCCTTTGCAACTCCCCAAGAGTGCTTATTTAAGTGTTAATACTTTTAAGAGAACTGCGACGATTAATTGTGGATCTCCCCCTGCCCATTGCCTGCTTGAGGGGTACCACTACTCCAACCCAGAAGGAAAGGGGGGCAGCTCAGTGGCCCCAAGAGGGAGCTGATATCACGAGGATAACATTGGCGGGAGGGGAGTTAACTGGCAGGTATGGCAAGGTTGCATATATAATAAAGTACAAGCTGTTAAAAAACCTGAAGAAAGCCTTTTGACTTTGAGCAGGTGGAGAACCCCACATCCCTGGCCAGCAGAGCCAATGAGTAATGAAGGAAAGAGGGAGTGGGTCTCTGTCAGGTCAATCCCCTACCCATCCATTGCCCCCAAAAAACTAACTGAAAATAGAGCAGCCATTTTGACTGGCTCCATGGGAGATGAAATGGTAGAATCCATGAGAAAATGGGTGCTTGCCTTAGAAATAGGGGCCTCACAGCCAGTCCCAGCCACACCCACACCCTAGGCTGAGAAGGCAAGAAAACTAGCAGGAAGTATCCTCACCAGGCCTGTTTCCCCATTTGTCTCATTGGCCTGACGGGATGGCGGGAGGTCCACGTTTAACTTGAATGTGGTGGTCATGGTAGCTTCTTGGCAGAAGGGGTGCCTGCCATTGACCGGAGGTGGGAAATTGGAGGACAGTCTGAGAGTTGAATTTCTCCCACGTGGTGAGAATTGCTTTGGCAGCTCAAGGGAGTAGGACCTGAGGTTTCCAGGACTTGTCTTCATGGCCACCTTATGATCCCGAGCTGACCACCACAGCCTTACTGAGTCAAGAAGAGGAAGGATGGGGAAGGGCCGGGGCTGCCCCGTTTTTGTTTTGTTTTGTTTTGTTTTTTGAGATGGAGTCTTGCTCTTGTTGCCCAGGCTGGAGTACAGTGGCACGATCTTGGCTCACTGCAGCCTCTGCCTCCCAGGTTCAAGTGATTCTCCTTCCTCAGCCTCCTGAGTAGCTGGGATTACAGGCGCCCGCCACCACACCTGGCTAATTTTTGTATTTTTAGTAGAGATGGGGTTTCGCCATGTTGGGCAGGCTGGTCTCGAACTCCTGACCTCATGATCCACCCACCTCGGCCTCCCAAAGTGCTGGGATTACAGGTGTGAGCCACCGCTCCCAGGCCAGGGGCTGCCCTGTTTTAAGAGCCCTCTGGATGCCCCACCTCTGCTGCCCTCTCATTGATCAGGACTGTGCATGTGGTTGCCATAGCTGCAAGGGAGCCTGGGAAATGTGTAGCTTGACAGGCAGCCGCCTCTGATCAGGGGCTTTCTTCCCTGACAGAATGACCTCTCCTCTGTCACTCTCCACTTTTCTCCAGAGCTACCAAAAAACGGAGCTGAGGCAGCACGGGCTCTGTGGCCTCAAAGAGCTTCCCACAAAACGGTTCCCAAAGTCAGGCCATCCTGGTCAAAATCTGACCCCCAACTCTCCCACACACACACACCACCAATAGGAAAGCAAGGGAGAGGCGCTGTAGGGGACACACAAGGAGGTTTGGCCGCCGTCCGCGCACCCCTAGAGGCCGCTGTGGCACCCACGTACCTGTGCGCAAGCCACCTGGGGGCATGACCCCGTGCTCCCCCGGGGCAATGGTAGGGGCAGGGGCGGGGCAGTGGCAGGGGCAGGGGCGCGGCGCAGGGGGGTGGGCGGCCTGAGGAGCAGAGGGAGGGCGGCTGCGCATGTCCACTCCCCCACTCGCCGCCGGGGGGCCCCGGGGAGCAAGCGTAGCCCCCTGCCAGGCCTGTCAGAGCGTCCCAGCGCGCCTGCCTCCCCACGGACACAGGTGAGCGAGGCACCGGTGCCCCCGGCCCCGCCAGGCCTGGGGGTATCCCCGCGCCGGCTTTAGGGGACCCTCCCCCAAGCGCCAAGCCTTCTCCCGGGCGAGCGGCCCCTCACCCGGCCTGCCGGGAGGGGTGTTGGCGCTGGGCTGGAAGAGGGGCCGCCTCACCCGGAGTCGGAGTGGGTCTTGACAGGATGCCTGGGCGACACTGCTCACACGGAGTCCGAAGTGCAGCCCTGGTTTCGGGGACCCCTCCGTACTCCGAGCTTTGCACCTCACCCGGCCTCGTCCGGGAAAGCGCGACCTGGCGAGGCTGCCCTGACCCCAGATCCCGGCTCCTCAGCGCGCCGGCCTCGGTGAGCTGGACGAAGCCCCCCAACCTGGTCCCGGCGGCTCTGAGCGCGCAGCCACCGCCAGGAGCCCAGGGGACCCACCGGGGGCTCCGCGCCACTTGAGAGGACCAAGCCCCCCATCCCCGGCGCCTCCCGCGGGCTGAGACCCCGGGCCAGTGCCCTTGGCACGTGCCTCTGCGCCTCGTGGCTCCTCCCGGGAGTGGGGCCGTGAGGACCCGGGCCGCGGCCTCCCTGCGCGTCGAGGGAACTGGGCGAGTGTGGCCCGGTCCTGCCAGGCAGCTGGGTTGGGAGCTGCGCTCGGCCACTCGGCCAGTCCTCGGGCTCCCCTTCCTCACCGTCGGCGCCCCCAGACTCCAGCCGCTTGGACTCCGACTTAAGAGGCAGCCTCGACCCCGCCTCTGCCTTCTGACCCATCCCTAAAGATGGCCGGGCACCCCTACAGGACCCCCAGAAGCCGACCTCTCCCTCCATGTGCGCCACCGCCTCGCCCCTCCCCGCAGTCCTCCAGGTCTTCTTCCTGTCCCCAACGGTCTGGGACCCCCAAGCTCCATCCTCCGCTTCCTGCTCTCTTCATCCCGCCCCCGCTCCTTCTGGGCCAGCGCCTCCAGTGACTATTCCCAGGGATCCCTCAGAGCTGAGGACGCCGAGGCCACATCCCCATTTGGGACCTTGCCCCGACCCCGACCTCCGGATCTCCAACTCCACCAAACCTCGAAGCCACCATCTGCCCCCAAACTGTCGCTGCTCCAGGCTTTCGGAAGGGAGTCGTGGCAACAGCCATTAGGATGCACTAAGCGGGGCACTTCCTGAGCCCAAGGACACCGAGGGGCATTCACTGAGTGAATGGGGATGTGCTGCTAATAACTAACACTAATTGACCACCTGCCGTGTGCCCATCCTCTTCGAACACGCAACTTCCTTGTTCCTTATCTTGTTATTGTCTCTTTCTCTCTGCCAGAATCTAATCCTCACAAGGGCAGGGACTGGGGTCTGTTTTGTTAACTGCCACACCACAATGCCTGGCACGAAGGAAGATTCTTGAATTAATGAATGGAGATTAAATTATAATTTAAAAGCCTGGCATGAACTAAGCACCTTCTGCATGCTTATCACCTGCTACTGACATATAGTTCACTTTTTTTTTTTTTTTTTTTTGAGATGGAGTTTTGCTCTTGTCCCCCAGGCTGGAGTGCAGTGGTGAGATCTCACCTCACTGCAAGCTCCGCCTCCCGGGTTCACGCCATTCTCCTGCCTCAGCCTCCCGAGTAGCTGGGACTACAGGCATCCGCCACCACGCCCGGCTAATTTTTTGTATTTTTAGTAGAGACGGGGTTTCGCCATGTTGGGCAGGCTGGTCTCAAACTCCTGACCTCAGGTGATCCACCTGCCTCAGCCTCCCAAAGTGCTGGGATTACAGGCGTGAGCCATTGCACCCGGCCCACTTTTTTACCTAGTTTGTTGTCTCTCACCCCGACCAGAATATAACCTTCATGAGGGCTACAGTTTGTTGTCTATTTATTGCCCACCTCTATGTCCTTGCCACACAGTAGGTTCCCAATAAATGTATGTTGAATAATTAATAAAGACAACATTCTAATGATAATGGCTAACAGACCACGTAATTGACATATTTATTTGGTTTATTGTCTTATCTGCCTCTGCCTTTTAGAACATAAACCTTCTGGGGGTGGGAATGTTGAGTCCCTACTGTCTGGCAGGCACTGTGCTGGGCTGGGGTTCAATGGTGACCCAAACCGGCAAAATCCTGCGCTCCCTCCATCATGGGGAGGAACTGCTAATGGGCATAGGCATTCTCTTCGGGGTGAGGAAAATGTTCTAAAATTTAGTTATGGTGATAGTTGCGCAACTTCATGAATATGCTAAAACCCGTTAAATTGGACACTAGCTGGCTGAACTTGATGGGATGTAAATTACATCTCAATAAAGCTGTTTGGGAAATCCAGACTTCACAGTTGTTGGTTCGTGTGAGGAGGGAAGGAGAGATGGGGGGGACGTGGGGCAGGGAGAAAACAACATAAATCATATATATATAGCACGCAAATTGGAAGGTGATCAGCACACAATAGGCACTTGGTAAATGTTAAAATAATGACACCCCACTGTCTCCTTGCCCTCACATGGTCTCCCCTAACGTATTGCCTGTTGTCTTGCTTCTTCTCTTCCCACTTGCAGAGCCCGCTGCCCACGTCTCTTCCCTGAGCTGCCTGCTGGGGTCATGGAGCTGCCAACAAAGCCTGGCACCTTCGACCTGGGCCTGGCCACATGGAGCCCTTCCTTCCAGGGGGAAACCCACCGGGCACAGGCACGCTGCAGGGATGTTGGCAGGCAGCTGCCTGAGTACAAGGCTGTGGTGGTGGGCGCGAGTGGCGTGGGCAAGAGTGCGCTGACCATCCAGCTGAACCACCAGTGCTTCGTGGAGGACCATGACCCCACCATCCAGGATTCCTACTGGAAGGAGTTGACCCTGGACAGTGGGGACTGCATTCTGAATGTGTTGGACACAGCAGGGCAGGCCATCCATAGGGCCCTGCGTGACCAGTGCCTGGCTGTCTGTGATGGTGTGCTGGGCGTCTTCGCTCTCGATGACCCCTCGTCTCTGATCCAGCTGCAACAGATATGGGCCACCTGGGGCCCTCACCCCGCCCAGCCCCTTGTCCTCGTGGGCAACAAGTGTGACCTTGTGACCACTGCTGGAGATGCTCATGCCGCTGCTGCAGCCCTTGCACACAGCTGGGGGGCCCACTTCGTGGAGACCTCAGCCAAAACACGGCAAGGCGTGGAGGAGGCCTTTTCTCTGCTGGTCCATGAGATCCAGAGGGTCCAGGAGGCCATGGCCAAGGAGCCCATGGCAAGGTCCTGTAGGGAGAAGGCCCGGCACCAGAAGGCCACCTGCCACTGTGGCTGCTCTGTGGCCTGAAGGTCTTGGCCAAGAAATGTAGACCTACCCCCAGGCCAGGGTGATTGTTTATTTGACATGAGACCCCTGAAGCAATTAGCTTTGAGGGACACATTCAGTATACTAGGGAAAGATGGACACCTCTCTTGTTTTCACTTGGTGAGGGGCTTTTTGGTAACATGGGAGTGCCTAATGTTGCTTTTGTTATGTCAAGAGATTTTGTGCAAAATTAAATAAATGGTGTTTTTGGTTTCAAAGCTGCCTCCGTGCTGAGTGTTGTGTGGGTGAGAGTGAGACTGGGTAGAATGTTACTTGAGTTGTGAGAATTCTTTCATTCAAGAAATTCAGGGGGAGCCCACGGTGTGCCAGGCTCCGCTTTAGATACAAGGGAGGTAGAGACAAACAAGACACTTAAAAATCCCTGCCCTGATAGATATGGCATCAGGCTAGACAGTGATAAAGGCTACATGTTAAAGGCAGGTGAAGGAATAGGGTGACAGGTCCAGGAAAGCCTTCTAGAGAGTAGGTGACATCTGGACAAAAACTTGAAGATATCCAAAGGCAGAGGGACTAGCCAGTGCAAAGGCCATGGCTACAAATCAGCTGCTACCACAGCAACCCTCAGTATCTCCAGGGCCTGGAGCAAGAGTACAGGTAGGCCTCTACACTACATAACTAAATAGGTAAACAGACATTGCAAATCAAGCTTTACAAAGCAAACGAAATACACCCTATCCTAATTTGGCAAATACACTTTCTTGGTGACCTGGATATCCAGGCTCCAATTTCTCAGCCTTCTCAGAGTTCCCTGCCAGAATGTGCCTGTCTGCCAAAGAGTGTGCCTGTATTGGGACCTCCCGTTCCCCAGCGCGAAGTCCTCTCCGGTTCTCTCCCCCGCATCAGGAGGTGTTCATGTGTGCCTGTGACATCCCAGCCCGCACCTCAAGCTCTACTCCCGTGCCCCACAAAGCCACCCCTTGGCCCTCAGGAGGATGGTCCCTTGGAAGATGATGGTGCAAGCCCTGAAAGTGGCCTGAAAACCTGGGATCCCCATACCCAAGTGAGGCCTAAAAGGGGGACACAAGATCCGCGTGGGCACTGCCATTGTCCATGTTGATGCCTTCCCCTCCACCTCAAGGAGAGACATAGACTGAGCAGGTGATTGCTCTAAAGTGCAGGACCCAGGGTAGGGGCTCCTCTCCCCTGGTCTAAGGGCAACCACCACCGTGGGCACCACCAGCCCCTAGAAACTGCCACTCACACAGACAAGCACAGAGCTGCTTCAGATCATGTTTATTGTGGGGCCGGGGGTAGGGATCCTCGGGTGGGAGGGCTGGTTGGCCGGGGTAAGTTGCTCTGGACGTGCTGGCGGGGAGCAGTCCTGGTGGCGGGATGGCGGGGGCACTCCTGGGTCCCAGGGTGCAAGGGATCCGGGCTGTGCTCAGGGTGGCAAGAGGCGGCGTGCAGGCACCTGGGGCGCCGGGGTCTCTAGGCGTTTCACGCGCAGCAGTGCCCCCAGCACGCCCTCAGGGGGCACGTCGGAGCCCACATCCTGGTCGGCGGCACGGCGGAGGCGGCGCGGGGCTGCCACCCCCTCGGAGTCCGCGCTTCCGGCAAGAATCCGTCCCAGCAAGTACCTGCAAGGCCGAGCGCAATGCAGTGAGGCTACGTCCGCGGTGGGGCATTCTCTGGCCCCACCCCCGAGGCCCAGAACGCAGGATCCACAACCACGTACTGCCTGGGGACAGGTTCCCTCCCTAAGGAGGCGTCCTCAGTCCACTGCTTTCAGGAGACAGCCGTCTTTCATCCCAGAAACGGTGGCTTCCCTGCCTCCCTCTCCCCTTTCCAGGACCTGGGGTCCACTTCCCCCACTGAGTACTCAGCCAGGCATCCTTGCCCCGACTCCCTGGATCCAGGACCTCACTCCCTCTTAGGGCCCCAAGACTTAGAGGTTCGCACTCCACGGGAGAAGCAGGCGTCCCAGTTCCTCTCCCTCGACCTCCCCGGACGGAGGCACCCGACCCCTCCCCACCCCCTGCTGGGCACCTCAGCAGCTCGGGGTCCACGTCGGGTGTCTCGTCGCCTGCCTCCTCGGCATCTGGGCCCGCGGGGCCGTCGTCGTAGACTGGGGGCCGGGGTCTGAGCGCTGCGGCGGGGACAGGCGCGGGGACAAGCTGGGCTGCGAGGGCGGCAGGGTCAAGGCGGGCGCGGAGCAGAGCGCGAGCTAGCTGCGCTGCAGGCGCGTCGGGGTCGTCGTCCAGGCCCAGAGCCGGGTCAGAGTTGCGGGGGGCGCCCCAAACACGCAGCAGCTGCGCCAGGACGCGCGCCTGCTGATCCTCAGCCTCCTGCGCCTCGGCCCGCGCCCTCTCCTGACGTTCGGCCTCCAGCAGATGCGCCAGAGCCCGCGCTAGCTCCTGCACCGCCCCCGCCGCCGCCTCACCTCGGGGCACTGACCGCCGGAAGCGGCGGGGATCGCCAGTCTCAGCCAAGGGCGGCGACGCTGCGCTTAGGCCGCGGGGCTCCTGAGGGAAAATGAGGTGGGGGAAAAGAGTTTGTCAGCGTCTGTCGAGCCAGGGACCCCAGCCTGGGAAGCTCCGTGGGCCTCAAGCATCCCAGATGCCACCAAAAGCACCGTGACCATCCAAATACACCCGGACTCCCCTAAGGCCACTGGAAACCACCAAATATCTCCAAACACACTTAAGGCCACCAAAGATCCCCAGACACCCCCCCACTCCACCCCACAGCGCGCCAGTGATCCCTTGGTGACTCATAATTCCTCCCTCCCCACCCCCACTCCTGGGGACCGAGTTTCTTTATAAGAGTAGCGATGGTAGATATGACAGTTACAGATTTTTCCATATTTAATATTGTGGACAACAGGAACTATATGAATAAACTTGTTCATATACCATTTGGCATGTGTACAAGTTCATCTGTAGAATAAATTACCCAATAACAAATTTTCAGTTCAAGCAGTTTTGAAACAATTTCCACAAGTTTAAAGAAATAAAAGAGGGTACCAATAATCTGAGCAAGGAATAAAAAATATCATAAAAATGACTGTGAAGGTTTGGAAAAGAAACATACAGGCCACATATAAATATGCTTAAAAGGAGTGATGCCTGCAACACAAATAGCCAATAAAAGAGTAGTACACAGGGGCCGGGCGCGGTGGTTCACGCCTGTAATCCCAGCACTTTGGGAGGCCGAGGGGGGGCGGATCACAAGGTCAGGCGATCGAGACCATCCTGGCTAACACGGTGACAGCCCGTCTCTACTAAAAATACAAAAAAATTAGCTGGGTGTAGTGGCGGGCGCCTGAAGTCCCAGCTACTCAGGAGGCTGAGGCAGGAGAATGGCGTGAACCCGGGAGGCGGAGCTTGCAGTGAGCCAAAATCGCGCCACTGCACTCCATCCTGGGCAACAGAGTGAGACTCCGTCTCAAAAAAGAAAAAAAAAAGAGTAGTACACAGAAGATACAGAGAATTCCTAAACAGTAGTAAGAGAAAAACTCATACAGAAATAGAAAAAATACATGATCACCTATTTCACAAAAATGATTACTAAACATGAAAAATTGGGCCAGCTGTAGTGGTTCATGCCTGTAATCTCAGCACTTTGGGAGGCCAACGCAGGAAGATCGCTTGAGGCCAGGAGTTTGAGACCAGCCTGGTCAACATAGGGAGACCCTGTCTCTACAAAAAATAAAACCAAAAAAATGAGCGAGGCACATGCCCATAGTCTCAGCTACTTGGGAAGATGAAGTGAGAGGATCACCTGAGTCCAGAAGCTCAAGGCTGCAGTGAGCCCAGATTGCACCACTACACTCCAGTGTGCATGACAGAGGAAGATGCTGTCTCTAACAAACATAAAATAAAATTAAAAACCTCATTAGTAATCAGGGGAAAGCAAATTAAAATGCCAGTGAGATACTATGCATAATATAACTAAAAGATTGACCCAAATCAAAAAGTCTGATAATATAAAGTGTTGATATGAATGCAGAAAAATGGGAACTCTCATACTATGCTGGTGAAAATTAAACTGGCAAAGTAATTTTGAAGAGCGGTTTGACAATATCTAAAAAGATGCACATATCCTATGACCCACTCCTGGGACGTTATGCCCCAGAGTAGCTTTGGCACATATACTACTGGTCACAAGTTCATGACAGATGATGGCAGCACTGTTCGTAATAGCATAAAAGGGCAGGGGAGAAAGAAAAGCCTGGAAACAATCCAATGTCCACTGACAAATTGAGAACACATATATAAATCATGATGTCCTCATAGGATATAATGTTATGCAGTAATACAAATAAATGAATTATAGCCACCAAGCATAAACTTGGATGAATCTCGCAACCAAAGTAGAGCCAAGGGAAAAAAAAAAAAAAAAAAAAAAAGCCAAGTTCCAGAATTTCACTGCAGACTGCCTGAGACTACTAGACACCCTGAGGACTTCCTAGTGACCCCTAGTGACTACGCGGAACCAGTCACCTAGTATGATTCTATTTCAATGATGTTCAAAAAGCAGGAAAAACTAAATAATGGATTGTTTTGAGAGCTACACATATGTGATAAGCTACAAACAAAAGTAAGGAAGTAAGGGATCAATGGACAGAAAATATAGAATATGGACTGTGCAGGAACAGGGGCTGCCATGGGGAGGGGCACACAGGGGCTTCTAACTCTTGGTCAGGCTCTATTTATTCAGCTGAGTGACTGCTACACGGCGGAGTTATTTTGTCATCATTCTTTACATTGTACATATATATTAAACACATTGTTACACGGATATAAGGTAACAGTTTTTGGTTTTTTTTTTAATTCCCATCTCTGATGCAGACAGTATTGAAGAGCTAGAGGAGGATGCCTCTGCAAGTGCCCTTGCTTGGCGCCTACCACTCCTCAGTCACCCCGGGGTGTCACACTCACCAGCAATCACAGCCTCACACACATTATGAGGACTGACAGGCCTGGAGATGTCACATATACAGCCCAACACTGCCACAGCCACATGTAAGGACCTGCACATGTTCACATCCGCAGCTGCCCCTGCAGTTACAGTCGCCAAGCCACCCAGGTGCAAGGACATGCACCATCCTTAAAGACACAATGCAGCAGAGAGGCATCATGGCTCCTCTCCTCAGGATGACACAGCTCCACAAAGAAACAGAGAGAAACAGTCTCAGGAACACGCAAATGAAATCCCAGGCACTTGGTCCAACAGAACCACTACGGAATGTGCACACGGAGATGCGAAGACCACTCCCTCTCAAACAAAAACGAAATCACAGAGAGAGTGAGAGAGAGAGAGACGCCCATAGGCCATGCCAACACACATATAAAGATTCATAAATATACACACGGTGTCACCGAGAAAACAATCGGGCCCACAGAAGAATCGCGCACAGAAGTATTCCGGTATCACACACACTACACACCCAGACGCACCACGGCACCTTTGTAGGACATTTGGAAGCGCTCAAACCAGAGACCACACACTTTCAAGGACACGACACCTCCACACCGCTGTCCTCACATCACACGCACACACACCGATGCGCGCGCGCCCTTTCTTAAAGCGCCTTAGTGCCGTGGAGAGCGTCACAGGCACCGGGCTCGGAAAGGTGGGCAGGGCAAGGTTACCGGCGGCGCCCGGGACAACGCCACCCGCACAGGCAGAGACCGAGTCAGGTCTCAGGTGTGCCGGCGTGGCCTGGGCGCGGACCGGCGGCCGGAGCCCAGGCCACCCTCGTCGATCTCTCCGCACGTACCGGGAGCCGGCTTGGGCGAGGATGAGGTGGCGCAGCCCCAACTCCAACCCTCGCCGGTGGCATCCTCCCCCAACCCCACCCCGCGCCGGACTGGAGTCGCACCTTTACCGGCCGCGCGCAGAGCGCGGAGGGCGGCTGAAAGAGGCCCAGCAGCAGCAGCACCAAAAGGCCGACGCCCCCGGCCCGCGGCCCCCAGAGCAGCGGCGACCCCGCCATGCTGCCCCAGCGAGCCGGGCTCCGGACGGGCGAACTGGCTGGCAAGTGCGCAGTGCCCGGGCGAGCTGGCGAGGCTGCGGCGCTCTGCGGCTGCGCACGCCCGGAATCAGGGCCCCCCCCCACCCCCCCACCCCCCCACCCGACGCAGGCGCAGCCTCGGGGAACTGGCAGCCCCTCCAGACCTCCCGTCGCCATGGAAATGCCCAAAGGGCAAGGTGGAGAGCTGGCGGTTGCCATGGCAGTCGGAGGGCAGTTGCTGGGGCAACCGACCTTACAGTTACCTTGGCAGACAGGAAAACAGGCAAGAAAAATGGACTCAGTGGAGTGAAATGGGGGTCTGGTCCTCATCTCTCTTCCTTGGGGAGGAGATGGACTTTAGTTTGTTCATTAGATAAATAGTTAATGGATCACCCGCAGTGGGCCCGGCCCGCGCCAAGGGAGATGGTTTCAATCTAGGTTATGTGACCATGGACAGCTCAGTTCGCCATTCTAAGGCTCAGGCTCTCAGAGGCATAAAGGGGTTATTACTGACAGCCTCCCTCAAAGTGACCTTGGAGGTTTAGAATGACATTCAGTAGGAGCTCAATAAATGCTCCTTTCCATTCTCTCCTTGTCTCTTTGTCTTTTTTTTTTTTTTTTTTCTGACAGGGTCTCACTGTGTCCTCCAGGCTGAGGGCAGTGGCCAGATCTCAACTCACTGCAATTTCCACCTCCAGGGTTCAAGCAATTCTCATGCCTCAGTCTGCCAAGTAGCTGGGACTACAGGTGCCCACCACCACGCCTGGCTAATTTTTGTATTTTGGTAGAGATGGGGTCTCGCCATGTTGCCCAGGTTGGTCTCCAACTTCTGAGCTCAAGCAATCGGCCCTCCTCAGCCTCCCAAAGTGCTGGGATTACAGGTGTTGAGCCACCATGCCTGGCCCTGGCCCAATACTTTCATTTCTCCATGGCTCTCTGTGTTTCTCTTTCTGTCCTTATGTGCCCACAGCTCTCTCTGTGTCTTCCTCTCCCCATATGTCTCTCCCTGTCTATGACTTTCTCTCCTTTCATCTCTCCAACCCCTGTCTTGTCTCTGTCTTTATTTTACTGTCTATATCTACTTGTTTTCCGTAGATAGATATATACATAGATACATATATACATAGACTTTACCCATATATTGTTCCAGAAATAAGTTCAAGTCACTGAAATGACATATCAAAGCAAACAAGATCTTGAAAAAATGTGTATCCATAGGGCAAAAAATGTTGGGGAGGGAATGTTAACAATGGTTCTCTGGGGAGGTAACTAATGGTTTGTTACTTTCTCCTTTATACTTTTCTATTGTCCAAAAAAAAAAAAGTTACAATAGGCCAGGCTCGGTGGCTCATGCTTGTAATCCCAGCACTTTAGGAGGCCGAAGCGGGTGGATCACCTGAGGTCAGGAGTTTGAGACCAGCCTGGCCAACATGGTGAAGCCCTGTCTCTACTAAAAATACAAAAATTAGCCAGGCCTGGTAGCACATACCTGTAATCCAAGCTACTCAGCAGGCTGAGGCAGGAGAATCACTTGAACCCGGGAGGCGGAGGTTGCAGTGAGCCGAGATTACACCATTACACTACAGCCTGGGTGACAAGAGCGAAACTCCTTCTCAAAAAAAAAAAAAAAGTTACAATAATTATGTGTCACTGTTATAATCAAATAAAAAAGAGTATAGATATTTTCATTTTGGAATTAAAACAAAATATGAAAACATGGCATAAATTTAAAGGGATGAAAAGAAAGATCCATTCATGGTGCTGTGGATGTATCCATCTAAGCCATTGACTCTAACTGCCTTCATCTTGATAGTGTTACAAACAACTTTACAATGAAAATCTTTGTATAAATCTTTTTGTGAACCTGAAGATCATATCCACAGGAATGGTGTCATCAAAACACACTTAAGATGGCCCCCATGATTCTTCCCATCTGGCGTTCACATGCTTGCATAATCCCCTGTCCTTGAGTTTGTGCATGACCAAGGGTGACTGACTGTATGCCATTACATGTATGTGATCATATTAAAAATAAGGTTGAGGCTAGGCATGGTGGCTCACGCCTGTAATCCCATCACTTTGGGAGGCCAAGGCGGGCGGATCACATGAGGCCAAAAGTTCGAGACCAGCCTAGTTAACATAGTGAAACCCCATCTCTACTAAAAATACAAAAATTAGCTGGGCATGGTGGGGGGCATCTCTAATCCCAGCTACTCAGGAGGTTGAGGCATGAGAATTGCTGGAACGCAGGAGGCAGAGGTTGTAGTAAGCCAAGATTTCACCACTACACTCCAGCCTGAGCCTCAGAGTGAGACCCTGTCTCAAAAACTAAATAAATAAATAAGGCTGAAATGACCACATTGTAGAAGACTCTCACTGCCTTGTTGGCTTAAGCAAGTGGCCACTTTGGGGAACCTTAAACTCTAGGAAATGAGGGTGGCTTCCAGTTGACATCCAACAAGAAACTGAAGCCCTCAGTCTTATGACTGTAAGAAACAGAATACTGCCAAGAACTCCAGTGAGCTTGAAATTGGATCCTTTCCCAGGGAAGCCTCAAATGAGACAGCAGCCCTAGTGGACACCTTGATTTTCAGCTTCTGAGACTATAAGCAGAAAATCCAGCTAAGCCACACCCTGACTCCTGATCCACAGAAACCATGAGATAATATTGCATGTATATAGTTTAAAAGCTGCGAACTTTGTGGTAATATTCTTTTTTTTTTTTTTTTTTTTTTGAGGCGGAGTCTCGCTCTGTCGCCCAGGCTGGAGTGCAGTGGCCAGATCTCAGCTCACTGTGAGCTCCGCCTCCCGGGTTCACACCATTCTCCTGCCTCAGCCTCCCAAGTAGCTGGGACTACAGGCGCCCACCACCTCGCCCAGCTAGTTTCTAGTTTTTTTTGTATTTTTTTAGTAGAGACGGGGTTTCACCGTGTTAACCAGGATGGTCTCGATCTCCTGACCTCGTGATCTGCCCGTCTCGGCCTCCCAAAGTGCTGGGATTACAGGCTTGAGCCACCGCGCCCGGCCTGTGGTAATATTCTTTACACAGCAATAAAAAATTAGTCTGACTAGGATAAGACCTCTATGGAGAAAAAGTTAAAACTCCATTAAAAGGTATAAAAGAGGCCGGCCGCGGTGGCTCATGCCTATAATCCCAGCACTTTAGGAGGCCGAGGCGGGCAAATCACCTGAGGTCCGGAGTTCAAGACCAGCCTGGCCAACATGGTGAAACCCCATCTCTACTGAAAATACAAAAATTAGCCAGACATGGTGACACGTGCCTGTAATTCCAGCTACTCAGGAGGCTGAGGCAGGAAAATTGCTTGAACCTGGCAGGCAGAGGTTGCAGTGAGCCGAGATCGTGCCACTGCATTCCAGCCTGGGTGACAGAGCAAGACTCTGTCTCAAAAACGAAAAAAGATCATCTGAATAAATGAAGACGCAATTCATGTTCTTGGATGAGGCAATTTCGTTTTATAGAGATGTCAAGTCTATCCAAACTAATATATAATTTCTATGTAATTTCAATTTAAATCCCAGCTGAATATTTTAAAGAAAATCAATTAAATGTACTTTTTATTTTATTTGTAATCCTCTCCTTCTGTAATAAAATGTATTGTTTTGTTTGTGTGGGTTTTGTTGTTGTTGTTGTTGTTGTTTGGTTTCTGGTTTCTGGTTTTGTTTTGGCTTTTTGGTTTATTTGTTTGTTTGTTTGTTTTTTGAGACAGGGTCTCACTCTGTCACCCAGGCTGGAATGCAGTGGCAAAATCACGGCTCACTGCAACCTCCACTTCCCAGGCTCAAGCAATCCTCCCACCTCAGCCTTCCGACTTGCTGGGACTACAGGTGTTTGCCACCATGCCCGGCTGATTTTTGCATTTTTTTGTAGAGACGGGTTTCACCATGTTGCCCAGGCTGGTCTTGAACTCCTGGGCTCAAGTGATCCTCCCATCTTGGCCTCCCAAAGTGCTAGGATTACAGGCATGAGCCACCACACCTGGCCATATTTTTAAATGTATATAAGAATCCATGCAAAAATTTGTACACAAATGTTCAAAGCAGCATTATTTATTATTTATTTATTTATTTATTTTATTTATTTATTTTTGAGTCAGAGTCTCGCTCTGTGGCCCCGGCTGGAGTGCAGTGGCCGGATCTCAGCTCACTGCAAGCTCCGCCTCCCGGGTTTACGCCATTCTCCTGCCTCAGCCTCCCGAGTAGCTGGGAATACAGGCGCCAGCCACCTCTCCCAGCTAGTTTTTTGTATTTTTTTTTATTTAGTAGAGACGGGGTTTCACCGTGTTAGCCAGGATGGTCTTGATCTCCTGACCTCGTGATCCGCCCGTCTCGGCCTCCCAAAGTGCTGGGATTACAGGCTTGAGCCACCGCACCCGGCCCAAAGCAGCGTTATTTATAATAGCAAAAAGTGGAAACAACCCAAATGTTCATCAGTAGATGAACAGATAAGTAAAATGAGGTTTCTCCGTATAGTTGAATATTATTCAGCCATAAAAAGGAATGAAGTGAGGTCAAGTGTGGTGCTGTAATCCCAGCACTTTGGGAGGCCAAGGCAGGCAGATTACTTGAGGCCAGAAGTTCGAGACCAGCCTAGCCAACATGGTGAAACCTTGTCTCTACTAAAAATATAAAAATTAGCTGGGCGTGGTGGTGCACGCTTGTAATCTCAGCTACTCAGGAGGCTGAGGCAGGAGAATCGCTTGAACCTGGGAGGCATGGGTTGCAGTAAGCAGAGATCGCACCACTGCACTCCAGCCTGGGCAACAGAGAGAGACTCTGTCTCAAAAACAAAAAACAAAAAGCAAAAAACGAAAAATGAGAATGAAGTGCCGATACACGTTACAACATGGATTAATCATGCACAAGGAAGAATATTGATGAGAATGCGCACATCACAATTTACAGATTCTGCTTAATGAAGACCCCATATGAAAAGTAACAGATATGCCAGGTTGGGAAATGATATTTGCTCTGTCTGAAATGACAAGAGGTTAAACAAACAGAATAGAAAAGACTTTGAGAAATCAAAAAGAAAAAGACAGGCGCCCCGAGGACAAATGGATGAAAGATAAAACAGGTGGGAC